GGGTTGGTTTCCTGGGTGCTGTGCCCTAGAAGTGCATTCTCCCAGGGCTGAAGAGGTTCAGTACCTGCATTGCTCTTCAGAGAAGTGGTTACCCCAACTTTATGCCTTGTCCGGGGGAAACCAGAGCATCTAGCCCAGCAAGACAGGGTCATGGGGAGCCCCAGAGAGCAAGGCGGCAGGTTTCACTGGCATGATCAGCACACCTGGTTTCCTGGGTGCTGTGCCCTAGAAGTGCATTCTCCCAGGGCTGAAGAGGTTCAGTACCTGCATTGCTCTTCAGAGAAGTGGTTACCCCAACTTTATGCCTTGTCCGGGGGAAACCAGAGCATCTAGCCCAGCAAGACAGGGTCATGGGGAGCCCCAGAGAGCAAGGCGGCAGGTTTCACTGGCATGATCAGCACACCAGGGGACAATCCCAAGGGGACTTCTGACACTGCACCCCGGCACAGGTCTTTTGGCATCTAAGAAACATCCCACACACTCAAGTAGTGACATTGACTGAAGCATTGGTTCTGCATTTCCTTCATATCCAAGTCACTAGTGATTTCTATTTATAGGATTAGGTCCATTTTGCATCTAGGAATATGGTTAAGAGGACAGTATGGTGGCGCTCTGAGTGCATCAAGGAAGGTAAATCTTCTCTGGCTGCAGATTTTGCAGTTTAGGCCCCCAATTTAGGGGTTTCCTACAGTGTAAAGACAAGATGTGTCATCCGAGTCAGAAGTTGCTCAGAATTTTTCTTAAGTGGAATAGAGCATTTAGTCAACAAGTCAAATTCATTAACAATGGCTACTGTAAGTGAATCATCTTAATATTCTACAGCAGGACTACTCAACTTTGGAAGCCCCAGGGCCACAATGATACTCTCAGCACATGCCGAGGGCCACGACTTAAGTGTGGTTGCATAGACATGCAAATATATGCAAGTAGCTTCTTTCACACTGACAGGCATGAATACAAAGATTAAGGCAAGACTACACAACACACAGGCTCCATTTAAGTCAGTTCTGCTGACATTAATACAATATTTACCCAATTTCCACCCATATGACAGCACTTTGAATGAGCAATGACAGTCCAGGAATGTAACTACTAAAACACATCTCAACAGAAGATCATTACACGGACTACTTTTTTGTTTTGGCTTCACAATTTTAACACAAAAACTGCCAATACAATATTTACTGAAATATAAGTACAATGTGAAGATTGTGTCTGCAAACTTTTCACCAGCTGTTTCACATCAGGCTTGTATTCCCTTGTAGCAGCACAGAGACAGTCAGATGTCTGTCAGTAAGAGAGGTGCGCAGTTTTGACTTGATTCCCATGGAGGAGAATGAATTTTAACAGACATATGTAGACCCAAAGCAAGTAAGCACTTTTTTGGCACATTTCAGTAATGCATGGTACATCTCTTCCTGTACATTGAAACATTTTGGATGACCTGTGTCCTCTTCCTTATGCCTAGCTTTTAGAATACTATTGTTTTGCAGTTCTATTATCTCTTCTTCAAATGTGGCCCTCTCAACACCAAATCTCACTGCAGAAGGTGAGACTGCCTTCACCTCAACTGAAAATGGATTTTCAGTAAATTCAAGAACGGTCTTCAGGGATTTGACATCTAGAAAATGAGAAGAAATTCGGTTTTCAGCTCTGAGAGTCTGTTTAAAAAAAAAGCCACAGGCAAAAAAGATGCATGTTCATCTTTGAGGATGGGAAAGTGAGTTAAGTCTCTCACGAAGCTGATCTGCAAAAAGGGCCAGTTTTGTTTCAAATGCAGAAACATCCCACATCAGAGAAGGCAGGTTTTTTTCTTTGCCTTGAAGTTTAAGATTGCGTGCATTTAAGTGGTGTGTCATATCAGTGCGACAAGCCACGTTTAGCAGGACTTTCTCTTTGTCTAAACATGACAGTAAATCCTGGCGATCCTTTGCCTCCAAAAACACTCATACAGCAGGCAGTAGATCCATAAACCGATATAACGCTTTGCCTCGATGTCAGCCATCTAACTTCTGCAAGCATTGCCAAGTCACCATACTGTGTTTGGTACTCCTCAACTAAAGCTCGAAATTGTTTATGTTTCAAGGCATTTGCAACAATGAAGTTGACGATTTTTGTGACACTATCCATTGTGCTCTTGAGAAATCCTCTCTTCAGTTTGCTGTACAACTGTTCTTGGTGCAGAATGCAACGGTATAAAAAGAAATCTGGAAACTGTAGATTTTTCTTCAGCAAAGAAATTAGCCCCTTTTCCAACCATGGAGGGAGCACCGTCAGTTACCACCGAAGTAAGCTTCTTCAAATCAATGCATTTTCCTGGTCCTTCAAAAAATGCCATCAGTGCAGAACAAACATCCTCTCCCCTAGTTTGACCTGTCAAAGGTAGCAGAGTAAGCATTTCTTCAACTTTTTTTTTTTTCTTCCAGATTATGAGCAGAGATATGTCTGAATGATCAGTGACAACGGATGAATCCAGACTGAAATACTCAGTGCTTTCAATGTCTTTTAGCAATTTAGAAAACAGATCTCCTGAAATGCTTTCAATTTGTCTTATTACAGTTGAATCAGACACTTGCAGTTTTGATATTTAACTATATCCTCTGTTTTTAAATTCTGCAAAAAGTGATTTATGAGCAGAGATATGTCTGAATGATCAGTGACAACGGATGAATCCAGACTGAAATACTCAGTGCTTTCAATGTCTTTTAGCAATTTAGAAAACAGATCTCCTGAAATGCTTTCAATTTGTCTTATTACAGTTGAATCAGACACTTGCAGTTTTGATATTTAACTATATCCTCTGTTTTTAAATTCTGCAAAAAGTGATTCGCTGCAGACCAAGAAGCACTACTTCATCAATTCATCTTCAGAAAAAGGTCTTCTTGATTTAGCTATGTGCCAAGCCATTTTGAAGGAGGCTTCTGTAACGGCATCGCTGTCTTTAACTTGCGAATGGAACATATCTTGTTGAGTACAGAAACCTTCCAGCAAGGAAGGAATCTTAGTTTTTCTTAAATTGCTGTCAGGTGAACCGAGAGTGACAAGATTCATGGTACCATTGCAGGTTTGTTTTAACACAGCGATAGTCTTTTTTGACAAAGACAACACATTGGTTTTCCATTTCTCTCTGCACAAGCGAATTCCATCTCCCAAACAGGGTTGAAAACCCTGTGGTTCATCCAACAAGCATCTCTTCTTTATTGCCATTTTTAAATGCTTCCTATTAAAAAGAAATTGTATACTAGTGTTTTGGGTGTTTAGCTTGAAGCTTCAGGTTAACATAAGAACGGCCATATCGGGTCAGACCAAAGGTCCATCTAGCACAGTATCCTGTTTGTTAACAGTGGCCAATGCCAGATGCCCCAGAGGGAAGGAAACACAACAGGTAATCACCACCTGATCCCTCTCCTGTCATCCATCTGCAGACAAACAGAGACTAGGGACACCATTCCTGCCCATCTTGGCTAATAGCCAATGATGGACCTAACCCCCATGAATCTAGCTAGCTCTTTTTTTTGAACCCTGTTAAAGTCCTAGCTTTCACCACATCCTCTGGCAAGGAGTTCTACAGGTTGACTGTGCGCTGTGGGTTCAGCCGCGTAAGGCAAGTGATAAATTCTGGTGGCAGCATGAGAACCACAACTAATAAATGCTGGGGGCAGGAGTAGAAAGAAAGAAAGAAAGGGTTTAACTCAAACCAACCAGCTGCCGGAGGCACCCTGGGACACAGAAGTGGGGGAGCAGAAATTAATGACCTGAACTTAGGGTGTCAGAAATGAGTCCTCATCAGTGCCCAAAACATGGAGGGGAGGGGCTGTCCCGCCTTCTAACCCTTTTGGGGGGTGCTTAGGGCCTTTTGTGCATTTCTTGGGAGTGATTTTACTCAGAAAAAGTTTCCAAGGCAGAGTGCTCCAACCTGCAAAAACAAGAGTTCAAGGTGGCTGCCTCAACTGATTTTTGGAAGGGACCCACAGAACTCAGGGCAGCCCGAGGGATTACCAGGGGACATGGGTCTACTCCGTAGTAACAGTGAAGCAGAGCACAGCAGCCTGGGAGAGGGCAGGGGGGCACAAGGGAGCAGGCTCCTACCACCACATGGCTCTCCCTGGGGTACACCCTGAATAAAATGGATACCAGGTCCTCGGCCCAGCCGAGCCTGACACCATGCTCCCCTTCCCTTCCCCTCCCCCTCCCCTACACTGGGCGGGGAGGGACCCAGCCCGAATGGACCCCAGGACCCCGATCCAGCCCCAGCACAGACCTCTCTCACCCTGTCCCTCGCTGCCTGGCTTCGCCGCCGCCTCCTGCCGCCCGGCTCAGTGCAGCGCCCTGTGGCAAAAGCCAGCACGGCTCCGCTCGTGGGGAGGCGCTGTCCCTGGAGGCCACAGTGACAAGGCAGGCGAGCGGCCCAGGATGTGGCTCAAGGTACACTGGGGCAGAGACCTTGCCCTGTGGCCCCACAAGCCCTGTGTGAACTCAAACTGCACCGTGGGCCATATGCAAACGGGCCGCATGTTGAGTAGCCCTGTGCTATAGTAATTTCCCCAGTTTACTTATGAGAATGTCATGTTAGGACCGCCAAAACCCTTATTAACATCAAGCTATATCACATCTACTGTTCCCCACCATCCACTAGGCTGGTAAACTTATCTAAAAAGGAAGTTAGGTTGTTTGGGTATGATCTGTTCTGGACAAATCCTGTCAGCTATCCCTTTTAACCATATCCCTCAGGTCTTCACAAAACTGATCATTTGTTCCAGTATCTTTCCAGGTATTTAAGTTAGGCTGACTAGTCTAGAATTCCCTAGGCCTTCTGTTCCCCCTTTAAAGGTAGATATTTGGCTTGCATTCTTTCCCTTTCATTGTTAATATTTAATAGGTTGAATGATCACCATTAATCTTGTTTGTTTCAACATAAAACAATGACTTTAGACAGTAACATGCACATCTCAAACATGCATAAAGTTTTGCCTCAACTATACATAGTAAAGTTTCCACACCTTGTTTAATGAATGAACCAAAATATTTTTTGCTCCAATGTCCCTCAAGTCTCTTTCCGCATCATATTTCAGATCATTTGACACACTAAACCTGGATACAAAACAAAAGAAACATACAAAATTGGTCTTTTGCTGTCATTTACAAATGCACCACAATTCAAGACTTGTCCAAAAAAAAGCTTAAAAACTTTAAATACTATCACAAATAGTTAACCTACCATACAGCCCTTTTTCTTCCCAACAAGTAATTTTCATAGATTATTCCAGCTATGGTCCTTCCTTTTCCTACACCAGCACCATCACCTATCCTGTAAAACAGACTGGAAATCTTCAACTGAATACAGGAAATCTGAAAGGAACAGGTGGAGATATACAAATGATAACTGTGGGGGGGGGGGGGGGGGGAAAACACACACATTTTAAGTTTTCAAAAGTGTACCATCACATCTATTTTGACAGAGACAGAAGAGCCCACACACCTCCCTCCCCAAACACACTTTCACACAAGCTGATCCTGAAAAGGAAAGTTTAATCCTGCAGTGGACCTTTGCATTACAAAAATAAAGGATTTAAAATTATAGTGCAGCCTACCTGGGCTGCATAAGTAATTGCTTCCAGTTGCAATGCCGACAGCCAGCCATTATCAATACTTTCTTCAGATATTGATGTCTGATACCATACTTCAGGAGGGGTTACACTGGATAACGAACTGGTTTCTACAACTGGATCAGGATGACGTAGGCCAATTTTTACTAGAAGAGAGAGAAAAACAGCTGTTCTAAACAGTTCAGAACACTTTCATTATTGTTAGTTATTTCAGAAGCAGATAAACCCTGAGAATAAACTTCCAAGACAGTAAAATTGCCAAAATTGCCTAATCAAGGTTCAACAGTAGGACAACTCTAAATTCCTTTGCTCTTTTTGAATCCAGCTACTGCTCTTAATATGTGAAATGGGGTCTCTAAGAAAAAGAGGCATCCATGAAGATCTACTTCTGCTGTGTCAAAATCCCCTTTAAGTTAGAAATATTGGCTTTTGAGTTCTGCCTTCCCTCACAGAAAAGTCCTCAAAACGACTTAACTCTGCTCTGATAACATCACTGCCATTTTCATACTGAGAACACACAAAAAGCTTTCCTCAACCATTCTTTGTTTATACATTGCTATATTGGCTAGGTGGTCAAACTGTGCCCTCATAGCACAGAGCATGGGAATAGAAGTCAGATCAAGAGCAGCTCAGTTTAGTCAGTGATTAGCACACATTACCTATAGGTCTGTGGTGTCACTATTCCACAAAAACCAAAGTTACATTAAAAAAAAAGGTGCTTCCCAAGACATGCTCCAAAGAATACAAGATTTTTTTATAACATCATGAGAACTTAAATGCATGCTGGCATATGAGGGCTATCAGGAGAAAAAAAAAATCCAAAAAGCTTTGCAGGTCACAGACTGTGCCCTCAAAGTATTGTACCATTTAGTTACAAATAGAGTAGATAAGAGTACAGCAATGTGATCAATATTGGAGCTTAAGGGCATTTGAAAACCTGTTTCTGTTCTGTTCTTTTTAAAACGTACTGAATTGCTCAAACTAAGATTGTTTTACACTCATTTTGAGCTGCAATAATAGAATGATCAAGATTTACCATCTTACATTCCCTGTGTTCAGAGAATCCATTACATCTAAGCACATTATCTTGCTGATGAGTGCAATTTTACATTAAGTGTTCAAAAAATGTATTATCTCTTTCCAGTGCATGGAGCATAATGGGCGCAGCTGTTAAGTCTTTATTCCAACAAGTGAACTCTTCAATTGAAATCAGCAGTGAAAGCAAAAATAAAAACCAAGAAAAGCCTCAGTAGGCTTCTACAGTGCTGCTGAAAAGGATAAAGTTTACTTTTTTGGGTAAGAGCAGGGGAGGAAATTGGTGCCATGCCACATCCTACTGTGGAAACAAAGGTAACTAAGATGAAGAGACAGTGAAGAGCAAAACATTTTTTGGACGGATATGCAAAAGAACCATCAATTTTCAAGATACAACACTGGGTGAAATTATATTGCCTGTGTTATGCTGGAGTTCTGCTGAGATGATCTTATTGGTAACTTCTGCCCTTAAAAGTATGGACATTTAGTGAGGGTTTGCCTTTGAATCCCATGGTTCTTACTGCATACAGATATAGTCCCTGTCAAACACTGCTTAAAATCATGCTGTAAACAATTTTTAAGCTACATTAGGAACACCAAAGGTTAATATTTAATTTTTAGCAATTTAATGTACTTATCACTGTTCCAGTCACATAACTGCTATTTCAATATCCAGTCTAAGTCACTTTCATATTCTTAGTGTTGCAAAGTTTATATTATTAATCTGCAGAATAATTAAGACATTTTATTCCTGAAGAAAAATGGTAGACCTATTTCTACTAATCTTTTGTTCTATAAAAACTGTTAAATAAAATTTAGGACCAAATTTGACCATCCCTTTAAAATAATATACATATAAACACTTGCCTGGCCAGTGCTTAGTTCTAGGATAGTGACTGAAATGGTTTCTTTGGCTAATGAGACTAAGGATGTTAAAATGTGGTTCATCAACTAGTCGATAGGCACTTCCGCATTCCTCTTGTTAGGGCTCTTGCATGTCAAAGGAAGAATGCAGAACTCCGCATACAGCCCGGACCAGCGGGAAGTCCAGCGGACTCCAGGCTGCACACACCATGCCTGCTTTGAAATGCACAAGAGTCCCCAGCAGCATGCACTAATGAGACTAAGGATGTTAAAATGTGGTTCATCAACTAGTCGATAGGCACTTCCGCATTCCTCTTGTTAGGGCTCTTGCATGTCAAAGGAAGAATGCAGAACTCCGCATACAGCCCGGACCAGCGGGAAGTCCAGCGGACTCCAGGCTGCACACACCATGCCTGCTTTGAAATGCACAAGAGTCCCCAGCAGCATGCA